TGTTTGTTGTTGGTCCAATAGCAACTCTGATGTTTTCATACATTTTCCTGATATTACCTGTATCGCTGGCCTGTTGGATTTCTGATGCATAACTTGTCCCAGTACTGATTGGCACACTTTCTGGTTTCTCTTTGAAGGTTGGATTTAGCGGCACGTAGTTGTTGCTTTGTACTCTCTGTTGGATTTGTGTTGTGTTCTATCAGGATCTTACGCTTTTTCTCGAGTAGTGGTGCGAGTGTTGATGCACTGGCTTCAACCTAGTCCTCCTTGCAAGATCTTTCGATTCCAAAAGTAATCGACGCAGAATCATAAATTGTTAATCTCATGCTATTCCACGTGTTGTCTGGGGATGAGCTATCTCTATGTTGGAGCTCGTCTTTAACATGTTCTTGAAATTTTGCCTTTAACGCTGGGTCTTTGGTATTTCTTATGTTGATCTTAGGTTTCTTTTGTTTTTTAGCTCTTGGTGTTTTCTTTGTGACTATCTTTGCCTTAGCTATAACTAAAAGGTGGTCTGTGTTGCAGTCTGCACTGTAGAAGGATCTTGTGTGCTTTACCATGTTGGCATCTTTCTTCTTTCTGACGATGATGAAGTCGATTTGGTGCCAATGGCCTGATCTTGGATGGCACCAAGAAACCTTGTGTCTGTCCTTGCCACTGTAGAAGGTGTTAGTGATGCAAATGTTGTTATTTGTGCAGAATTCTAAGAGTCTCGGACCATTCTCGTTGATTTTTCCCAGCCCAAACGGTCCAAGGCAGGTGGGCCATACTTTGTTTTCAGTACCTGCTCTTGCATTGAAGTCGCCCATGAGAAACAGCTGGTCTGCTTTTGGGACGTTGTTGATTGTATCCTGAAGTTCCTCGTAAAACTGGTCTTTTTCTCATTTTCTGTTGTTAGGGTTGGGGCATAGGCGCTGATGAAGTGAGCCTTTCCAGTTTTGGTTTCCATTTCCATGACAGTGATACGTTCGGATATACCTTGGAGGGTGCTGATCCTGTTCAACAATCTGTTGTGTACTGCAAAGCCCACACCATGGATTCTCCTCTCATCTTCCCCAAGACCCTTCCAGAAGAATGTGTAGTTTCTTTCCCTGATAGTACCAGAGTTAGCAAGTCTTGTCTCTTGCAGGGCAGTGATGTCTACATTGAGTCGTGTGAGCTCCCTGTCTATGATTGCTGTCTTTCTGATGTCCTCTGTTTTCTCCAGGTTTGTAGTGTCCAATCCGGTTGTCATTATTCTAACATTCCAGGTCCCCAGTTTCCATGGGGTTAGTTTTACTCTTTTTTTGCCTGGTGCTGGATTTAACGTCTGCCTTTCGGTTTTTGTCCTAGCTCCATACACCCATAGAAGCAAACAGACGTGGCGGATCAGCACCTTACTGACTGGGGGCTGCCCAGTTTGAGACGGGCGGTAGTTGATCAGTGCGAATGAATAGTCACTCCCATCGTCTAAGGTGACCCGTGGCAACATCCTGTTTCGCCAAATAAGGATGTCTTATAACCCGTAAACTGCCACCTCCCGTGTTTTTTTCCTTTGCTCGTCACAACAAGGATGAAGTGTCCTCTCTATAATCATATAAGGGGGCTCTCGTGGCCTAGAGGTTAAGGTGTTCGCCTCTCATTCAAAGGTCCCGGGTTCGAATCCGGGTAGCGCCCAAAAAATTTTCTTCTCTAAATTTGTCTCCTTTCACCTCCTTTCCTACTCTCTAGCAATGTTCTGTCGTCTGCTTTCGTCTCCTCTTTCTGCCCCCCCCCCACCCCTTCACCTCCTTTGCCCCCTCCCCAGGGCTCCTGATTCTTTCTGCAGCCTGTCTACTGCTACTCATTGGCTTCTTCTTACTGCTGTCTTTCAGCCCACCCCTGATCTTCTGGTAGGAAAGATCTACACCTAGCCTTCTCGGACAAGGGCAACAAATCTCGGAGGTCCCGTGTGCAAGTTGTGCACGTTAAAGATACCTTGGTGGTCTAAAATCGATAAGAGTAGGCTTCGGCCGCCACCCGGGCAAAATTCAAAATTTCCTACGAACTGAAAAAGTTTAGTGAGTCCCGCGCGCTTATATGACCTTATGCAGTTGCGAGCGCCGTAAAACACTTACAAAAACAAACATACAATAATCATATAAATGCTGTTG